TGGGTGGGGGTAAGTTGTTCCACACCTTCACACCATGATATTTTATGGAGGTCTGGGACTGAGAGGAGCGCATGGGGGGTGGTCTTAGTAGCTCTGGGTGCCTTAAGTTGTATCTCTGATTATTCCAGAACTGGAAGTAATTATTGTCAAGCAAGTGATTGATAGATTTGTAAACAAAGAGGGCACAGCAGTAAGTGTTAATATCCTCGAATTTTAAAAATTTCAATATAGCATATTTTTCGTTTGTATGATCTGTTTTTTCAAGTAGGTCATTGTCCGTACAACTCTCTTTTGTGCAGTAACCAGAGATTGTGTTTTTGAAGAGCCAGAGACCCCCCATAGTGTGTGACAGTGTATCAGGTGTTGGTAAACAAGATCATGACAGATTTCTTTCATTGCTGTGAGAGTAAGTGACTGTCGAGTGTGATACATGATACCGCACTGTTTATTGACTTTACTGTGAATGGCTTGTATGTGGTTTCTCCAGTTAAGTTTCTCATCAACAATAACTCCGAGGAATTTAGTATTTTGTTCTCATTTGAGGACTATATTACCAAGGTACAGGGGGTTCAAGTCTGGAGGTAAATTTTTTATTCCGTGAAAGATCGTGTAGTGGGTTTTCTCAAGGTTTAAGGTCAGTTTATTACTTATTACCCAGGTCCCGACTTTAGTTAATTCAGTGTTCATAGTTCTCATCAAGGAATGGAGGTCTGAGTTGCTGGCATAGAGATTACTATCGTCTGCAAATAAGTTGTATTTTATGAGTGAGCTGGCGTGGACTATGTCGTTTATGTACAACAAAAACAGTACTGGACCGAGAATTGAACCTTGGGGGACTCCATACAAGATTGGCGAGGAGTCAGATTGGTGGTTATTATAACAGACAAACTGCATCCTGCTGGACAGATATGAGGTAAACCAATTGTGGGATAGGCCCCTAACGCCGTAATGTTCAAGCTTTGAAAGGAGGATGGTATGGTCGACAGTATCGAAGGCTTTACAGAGGTCCAAGAATATACCAACTGTGAACTGACTGTTATCAAAGGAATTTAAGATGTCATTAGTAAAGGTATAGCAGAGCACTCTCAGTCGACCTTCTTGCTCTAAATCCAAACTGGGAGTCTGTAAAGATGTTATTGGCATTGCAGAAGGAATTTAGTCTATTACATGCTAGCTTTTCCAGTATCTTACTCAAGGCTGGGAGGACTGACATGGAGCGGTAATTCTTAAAGAGACCTTTGTCCCCAGATTTTTTTATATGCCTGGTGGACTTTAGCAATTTTCAGTTTATCAGGAAAGACACCACTAGTGAAGGAGGAGTTACAAATGTGGAGGAGAACAGGTAGTAATAAGTGGGCCACTTTCTTAATGATGCTCATTGGTATATTGTCTTCGCCTGCTGCTGCATCTTTGGACATTTTTATGATGGCCAGTAATTCATCTGCTGTGACAGAGGATAAGAATAGTTCATTTTGCTGTCTGTTTTGTAGGTAGGCTGTAAATTCCTTATGGTGATCAGGGATGCTCTCTGCAAGATTGAAGTGGTTGGCAATGAGGGAGGGTTCCGTTATAACTGAGTCGTTTATCATAAAAGCTGAGTGGGGGGCCGAAGGCTGAGTGTTCCTGTTCTGAATAGAATTTATGACATTCCAGGTTTTCTTACTGTCGCCTGATGCTGACTGGAGCTTATTTGTATAATAGTTACGTCTGGCATTTCTAACTGCTTGTGTTACTCTATTTCTGATACTTCGGTAAGCATCACCGAAAGTTATGGGTCTTTTTGCAAATTTCCTTTGGAGTTTGTGTTTTTCCTTTATCATTATCTTAATTTCGCTTGTGATATAGGGTTTGGAAATGGATACAGTTTTCACTGACTTAGTCTTAAGCGGGAAGCATTTATCAAAGCAAGCATTGAAGATGCAAGAGAAGTTGCAGCTGTTCACGTTAGGGTTGTTGGAGGCATAGACAAGATCCCAGTTAGCATTCATTAGGTTGTTTTAAAAAAGGAGCATGTTGTCGGTGCAGTAGTCTCTGTATTGAATTGAGACTCTACTAGACCTTTCAGGTCTTGTGGCTGTTTTATACATGGCAAAAGCTGGGAAGTGCTCTGAGATATTGTTATAAATAATTCCACTTGCTAGGTTGTTAGAAGTGTTGCAAGTCCAGATATGATCTATCACAGTGGCAGAGGTAGCAGTTACTCTAGTGGGTTTGGTTATAGTGTTGAAGAAGAGTTTAGAATGACAGGTAGCAAGAAGGTCTAATACTGAGGCGTCGGTTTCTGCTTTTAATAGATCAAGGTTGAAATCTCCTGTGATGTAGCAGTCTTTCCTCTCTGAACTTATGATAGAGATAAACTCCGAAAATTTATCAAGAAAATTCCTTACATTAGTGTGGGGTCTTCTGTAGATTATCCCTACTAGGATATTTCGTGTGTCGTTACGTAATTCAATGAAAACACTCTCCATGAACTCGTCCTGAACCTTTAAATCATCTCTTACAGAAGTGTTATACTTGATATCAACAAATAGGGCGACACCACCACTGTGTCGTGACGTGTTGACGCAGTGTCTATTCTAATTAGGAATGTTATACAAATGGTCACTATCGTTAGTGAGTTTGGTCTCACAGAATCCAAGTACATCAAATTTGTGGGCAATAAAAGGTAAACACTGATCTAAAAAGGTATCTAGATGAAGGGGAATACTGCTGATGTTATGGCTAATCAAGGAGAAGGAATGAGGTAGTAGGAGACTAGAACTAAACTCGGGAGAGTCAGGAAAGTAGTAGTTACAGTTTGGGTTGGTGTGACCCAATGAGTTTTGTAGAAAGGTATCAGGATCGATATGAGGGAGTATAATAATAATAATAATAATAACAATTAACGGTTTATTGAAAGAGCTTGGCAGCCAGAAGGCTGAAAATATACAGTTACATATTTGGGGAATGGGTTTCGAATTACAAATAATATACAAGTAACATACGTGACACAAATAAGACATATAATAACTAGATGGGGAAAAGCTCAAACTACAGTCCATTTCAACATAGTGACAGTGCAAGGAGTAGTGTTTACTGGGAGTGAATACACTGGTTTATTACAAGTTATTGATAATTTTTACAATGGTTGGGACTGGGCTGTTCTTATAGCGATCAGTTCGTGCACGTATGGGCTGGATGCGGTTGTGGTGTCGAACAGCAATTCTCGGACTAGGGATCTCAGGTGGTAGTAGGAGCCGGTGTCGAGGATGGTGTAGAAGCTTCTTACCAAATTTGCAGATGAGGTCGTGGTGATGGTCAGTGAGAGTCGACACCATGGGTAAATGGGGTGTAACACTTACGATCTAGCACATCTAAGGGAATGACACTAATATCATTATTGTGGGGACATTGATACTGATTAAGGAACAGTAAAAACTCAGGGTCACTGAGGTGTGAAAAAGGAAGATCTGAGAACATTATAACAGTGGGGGGGTAACGTACTCACAAGTGCTACAACCAACAGAATTAGGATGACTGTTGAGTGGAGTGGGAGGTGCGCCTGTCTCTCGGGTTTGAGGGTTGCTGGTTTCCACCACAGAGGGTAGACGTGCAGTACTTGAGTTGACCGACAGGGGGGGAACTCCGCAGGTGATAGCGACAGTGGCTGGTTCCCCTTCGATAGGGAGGGGGTTCTCGAGGGTTGATTTTTATATTGCCGCTTACAGCGGCTATTTTATTGTGCACCCCACACTCAGAGGGGCTTGGGGGGGTTGGTACAGCGGGTGGGTGAGTGGGCGGGTGTCTACTTGCCCAACCCCTACAACAAGAGTTTTATGATTGAACGTCACGTGTTTACCTTGTTTCCTGGCTTCTTTAAACTGGTCCATTTGCTGTAATCGGGCTTTAGTCGTACCTGGACAGAGATCTTCGTTGACGAAGATTGTGGTGCCTTTCAGTTTACTGCGTTGATAAAACACTTTGTCACGGTCAGAGGGGGATGAGAATTTTGTTATGATGTCGCGGGGGCGGGAGGAGTTGGGTTTTCCGACGCGTTGAACACGGAAGTTTAAATTGTTCATTTAGCAGGAGTGAAATTTTGCGTTGGGATGACTCCCAGTTCTCGTGGATGTCTTCAGGGATACCGGCAATCCTGAGGTAGTTTTGCCGCCTTATGTCATCCACATATTCCACCTGGTCTGCTGCTGTCGTTAGTTCCGTTTTGAGCTTGTAATTCTTCTCACTTAGCTGTTGAACTTGGGTCTTGAGTGTTCAGTTCTCCTTAGCTTCAACGTTCAACATTGCTTGTAAGTCACTTATTTCCCCTTGCGAGAATTCCAAGCTTCTTTTAATCTCACTTAGCTGGTCAGCCTCTTCTAGCTTCTTGATGGCCTCCTTATTCATTTGTTGTATGATGTCCTGTATGAGAGTCCGTTGGACTTTATCACATCAGTCAGCTGTTGTTTCGTGAAATTGGAACTTTTGACACTAGCAGCCAAGTTAGACATATTGGAGCTAGTAAGGGCTGAATAGCTGGCAGTGTGGAGACGGCTGAGTTGTGGTCAGCTGGGTGGCCTGGTGGGACGGGGGGGAGTGTGTGGACGGTGGGGGTGGACAGGGCTCAGATTACAAGCCCTGGCACTGAGGGGAGTTTGGTGGGCCTACAGCTCACGTGGTAGTCACTGATTCACCATTAAATTGACAAATATATCTACTTAGGGGGATCACAGATAGATATTGTACTGGTCACGACACTCACTAGTCACTCACGAATCAGATTTCCTAGAAATCAGACTGGGTACTCCTGGAAAGACCCTGTTTTTCGACGAAAAACACGGAGCTCCCACACACATGTCCCACCGCCTAGTCTGTACTGATGTACTCACCCCTTAAGATGTGAAGTACACGAAAGCGCTCGGGAACTTCGTGTTTTCTTGTTTTCTGTGGTTATCAGCATATATATATATATATATAATTTTTTTTTTACAATGTCCGTTTGAGCCCATGGCGTCTTCACTCAGAATTACCAGAAAACAGCGCCAAGAGATGGACAAGACGGAGCTATTTAACGACGCGGAGGGGATGGACGTCGTTGGTCCAACAACTCCAGTGCCGCTCGATTTGGGTGACGTCATACTGAAGCTACATCCTGGAGGTCAGCCTCACTCAGTGGTATTATATGTCTATTTTCTTATACTATAATGATGTTAGATTCTCGTGCTTCCGTTCCACCGTATATATGTATGTATGCCTTAACCCATATACAGGAGTGCATGTATATAATTATATGGTGTCATCCCACTTGGACGATTCCCAGTTGGATGATCGTCTATTTCATGCGATTTTTATACAGTACTGTATTGTAATTCTTTCCTCCCCAGATGGTGTTCCTCCCCCAGATGGTGTAACAACCGGTACCTCAGGTGTAAGCGAGCGGCCAAGTACCTCTGGCTGGAGTGAGACGGAGCCGTACATCCTCGGCCTTGGGTCTGACCAGGAAACCAATCCTCGATTCAGTGTTGGCACCAGTGGGATGGTCACTCCTGGCACTGCCTTCCCCCCCTTTGATCCAAGGTTCTCCTTCACCTCGACCCTCGGTACCATCGAGGACTACAACTTGCCCATAGGTGAGACTCCTGCCTGTGGAGCATAACATGGGAAGTGACAGATCTTGTGCTGCTGAGGTTGTTGTCAAAATTCCCCAAAAGTGGTTCATGAAGTACTGGAATTATTGCAGGAATATCTGAGATTGTTTTTTATGTTAACACGGAATTAAACCTCCATGACTGAGATTAAGGCAGTAGAGTATTAGGATAAAATGATATTGCTAAAACAGGTAAGAAAATACTTGAACTGAGAATAAATTGTGATTAGAATTTCTTTCATGTAGCAAAATACTTGAATTAAACCATTACGATTGACAATAACAATAAACTAATAATATGAACATTATTTCACTATAGGAACTACAGCCCAGTGATAAAGGCTTCTCCACCAGAGAGAGACGGGATCATAAGAGGCACCCAACCCTTGAGAATGCCATATTGCGGAGATATAATAATATCCATAATAGACTTATCCCAAAGAGACCTTGAGCCACTTATAGTGCCATCTCTCCCGGCAGATAAGGACAGGAAGAAGCGGGTGGTGGTCCTGGGCAGCGGGGACTTCGGGCTGGCGCTCATCACCCGTCTTGTACATGCTAACTACAGCGTCGTCGTCGCCAGCAGGAACCCTAATAGAACCAGGTACTGTAGGGTTGGATATATATATATATATATATATATATATATATATATATATATATATATATATATATATATATATATATATATATATATATATATATATATATATATATATATATATATATATATATATATGTATGCAAGTAAATCACTGTAAGTGCGCGTGATCCAAGTAAATGCTGATAACCACAAGAAAACACGCAGTTCCCAAACGCTGTGTGTGTGTATAGTATGTGTGTATGGTCCAGTGGCCAGACATAGGTTGAACAGGTGAGGCGATAATTTAATAAAGGTAAGCTGGAGAGTTGCAGCTGGGCACCGCGGACAAAACCAGGATAACCAGTAAATCTCCTTATGAAAATTTGATGTTAATGATATTGCTATTGAAAATGATATTGATTACTTTAACGATGTAAGTGTAAGAAAACCCTCTTTTTAGTCAGTTGTGCATTGCCATTTCAGCATTACCAATAATATCTTAATAAAAGGATAAACGAAAATTGCACAATTTATATTTCAACAAAGTAATATTGATAACTAATAAATCATTTAAAACTGGTGTTGGGAGTTATATCACAATTAGAGTGGTGATTAATGCGATGTGTTTGTGGTGAGTGTGATGGTGTTTCTCTGCGTGGTGAGTGTGGTGATGGTGCTTCTGTGTGTGGTGAGTGTGATGATGGTGCTTCTCTGTGTGGTGAGTGTGATGATGGTGCTTCTCTGTGTGGTGAGTGTGATGATGGTGCTTCTGTGTGGTGACTGTGATAATGGTGCTTCTGTGTGTGGTGAGTGTAATGATGGTGCTTCTGTGTGGTGAGTGTGATGATGGTACTTCTGTGTGATGAGTGTGATGATGGTGCGTCTCTGTGTGGTGAGTATGATGACGGTGCTTTTCTGTGTGGTGAGTGTGATAATGGTGCTTCTGTGTGTGGTGAGTGTAATGATGGCTTCTGTGTGGTGAGTGTGATGATGGTACTTCTGTGATGAGTGTGATGATGGTGCTTCTCTGTGTGGTGAGTATGATGACGGTGCTTTTCTGTGTGGTGAGTGTGATGATGGCACTTCTGTGTGGTGAGTGTGATGATGGCGCTTCTCAGTGTGGAGTGTGATGATGTTGCTTCTGTGTGGTGAGTGTGATGATGGTGCTTCTTTCTGTGGTGAGTGTGTTGATGGCGCTTCTCTGTGTGGTGAGTGTGATGACGGTGCTTATATGGTGAGTGTGATGATGGTGCTTCTCTGTGTGGTGAGTGCGATGATAGTGCTTTTATGTGTGATGAGTGTGATGATGGTGCTTCTCTGTGTGGCGAATGTGGTGATGGCGCTTCTCTGTGTGGTGAGTGTGATGATAGTGCTTCTCTGTGTGGTGAGTGTGAAAATGTGATGGCGCTTTTCTGTGTGGTGAGTGTGATGATGGTGTTTCTCTTTATGGCTGAGTGTGATGATGGTGCTTCTAAGATGGTGCTTCTAAGTGTGGTGAGTGTGATGATGGTGCTTCTCTGTGTGGTGAGTGTGATGATAGAGCTTCTCTGTGTGGTGAGTGCGATGATGGTACTTCTCTGTGTGGTGAGTGTGATGATAGTGCTTCTCTGTGTGGTGAGTGCGATGATGGTACTTCTCTGTGTGGTGAGTGTGATGATAGTGCTTCTCTGTGTGAAGAATGTGATTTTGGTGCTACTGTGTGATGAGTGTGTTGATGGTGCTTCTGTGTGGAGAGTGTGATGATGGCGCTTCTCTGCGTGGTGAGTGTGATTATGGTGCTTCTGTGTGGTGAGTGTGATGATGGTACTTCTGTGTGGTGAGTGTGATGATGGTGCTTCTCTTTGAAATATCTTATGTCTTATGGAGTCTATATATCACATATATTTTTGTATAACGATATTATCAATAACTAATTTCAAGAGTTTTAAGACATTATATTTCAAACTGAGGATGAAAAATGTGGATACTGTGTGATTCACTTCATGAAATTCTCTTATTATTTCCTTCCTGGCCATAGAATAATGATGAACCACAGCTGTATATGACCAGTTATACTGTAATGTAACCACGTCATGACAGGATAGACACTACCTCCTCCCCTATTTCCCCACCCCTGTGTGTGTGTGTGTGCGTGTGTGTGTGTGCACTAAATAGGGATAAAGGCATAATCTTTGTTTCATTTTATGACAATGTAAATTAATTTTATATGAAAGTATTGTCATTGTTTCATGTTAGACGTCTTTTACAATCATAAGATATTCAAATTATACCTAAACAGGTTAGGTTAGGTTACGCTAGGTTTTGTATGAAGCTATTCATTTATATGTATTATGACAAGTACAATAGTAATAGGTGTTAAATTCAATACAAAGTGTACGAAAACACAAGGAAAAATCACATAAATATTGGATTGTCGGCCTTAAGACATGGTGCCGATATTAGAACATTCCGTCCTTACTGTAAGGCTGCTTTAATTCTCTGACGCTGTTGTACCCAACCGACTTAGATGTTCCCACGGGTGTAGAGGTGAACCAATAGCCTCCAGGCTGTTGGCACGCCGAACAACATGGGTGATCATGAAAATTTTTATCGTTTTTATAGGCCAAAATATTGTTAGTTCCGAAATATTGCTAGCATCTATTGGCAGGGCAGCCCCAGAACCTTCAGGAACTCCACCGAGTGGGTCCTATAGGCCACCCTTCTGGCCAATCTCCTTAGGTAGCGACGGCAGCTGAGGGTCTTCAAGACTCACCAAGAGGGCCAGAACAGCCACCCGTTCACTCCCAAGGTGTGATGCTAGCGGAGGTCTCGCTGGACCCCTGTGTAATGTTGAGACTTTTCCTCTATTTCTCTCTAAGACTGAGAGAGGGAACACTGGCTGGTAACTTATTGCCACATTCTTCACATGCTGGTATAAACAATATTATGATTATTTACCACTACTTAGAGGTGTGATGTTCATGTTCATATTTTTATACTTATAGAGAGGAAGCAAATTAGGTGATGATCTTCACGGCCAGCAGGAGTAGTACTGACAGCCAAACGATGTGTTTAGAGAACTTTGACTGTTAACATTAAGCATGAAACTTGGTCTGCTTCTGCACTATGGCCCTGACAACATTATGTAGTGTGGGACATCACCAGATGCTCCTGTGTTGGCCTAAGACATATTCCAAAACTGCTGCTAGTGGACATGTGATTCGTTTTATTCTTATTCGTTTAAAATACAGGACTATCATCATGGGTGATATAATAATATGATATATTATAGAAAATATATATCAATCTACAGATGAGAGGAATCAAATACCTTAGTAACAAGTGTTAATATATATCTAAATAAGCCCTGAAACTAGATAGATATATTTCGATGATTTTTGTCTTTTATATTATATTGTTACTGCAGTATATACTTATAACATTTATTCGCAGATAATAATTTTTTATTTTTTTTTATTTTATTTTTTTTTTTTTTTTGCTGGTCAAGCCCCGACCGAGGGCTAGCCAGACCCCGGGACAACTCTTTCGGAGCTTGACCAACACGTTCGTATTTGTATTACCATCTCGACTTAATTATACTGTATGTTACAAAGTCACTTGTGATTTTTTCAATGTTCTTTTTGATGATATTTACTTATTCTAACCTAAATGTCACCGAATAAGTCGCTTAAGGAATACGAGAAAAGCTCAATTAAATGTTTATGACAAATATGGATAATTGCCAATCAGTGATGACTTCTGTGAGTCTTACTCTATTTTGGATACTTTGATTGGCCATAAGAGATCGTGCTGATCATAAAAATACTTCAAATCAATACCTCCTTACATAACCTAACCTAATGTTTAGATATTGCTCGCCGTGATTGTTGTTATTTACTGTAAACTTCTCCCCACCGGGTAATGGTCAGACACCTCCGATTACTTTCAAATCAGTCAACGTACTGTACTGTACCCTGTACCACAATAATGTGTTCATTTTGACTTGAGGTACATGTTTATCAGCTGTGTTCCATATCATGGCGAAATTAGTTTTATCAGTTTTATCTTTATATTGATATTCAAAAGCTGTATGCATTAGGTTAATTTTAGCTCGTTTCCATATATTTCATATTAGAGTTTACATTATACATATACTGTATATGTACCACGTATCATTTTCTTTATTTCTTATTCATATTCAAATACAAATTTCAAAGATATGAATTTTGATTATATATCTTTCCATTATATTAACACAGTTACAAACCTTAGCAGAGACATCTAGCGACTGTTCAACAAGATTTCAATCACGCGTCGAGGAGGTCTCTTGCCTACCTTCCGTATATACTGTACAGTAGTATTTAGGTGATTTGGTCCTGCAGGACGCGAGGGTAATGATACCACCTTGACAAGCAGACGTACTCGAAGACGTCAACTCAGTCTTGCTGCAATTATGTTACCATAAGTGAAAGTCAACGTAAATACGATTCATCACTGGCTGAGCCTTTGTACAACTTTATAGAGGATTCATAACCTCATCCTGTGAATTCAACTAAGTATCTAACAGTGTCGGAGAAAGGTAGTTTCGTAGGAGAGGAATGAGGAGGTGCGCCTCCATTATTGAATTTAAGTTGTAAATTAAGTAGTACCGTGAAAATTTTTCGATAGGTCATATTAGCCGTTGCATTACAGACATGAATTCATTATATCAGGTATCAGGTACAACTCATAACTGTTCTGAGTACCCAGGCATATTTCATGAACATTTTTACACAGGTTCTCTCTCTCTCTCTCTCTCTCTCTCTCTCTCTCTCTCTCTCTCGCTCTCTCTCTCTCTCTCTCTCTTCATCTAATTTACATTTATGTATTTTCTATCTAAAACCTTTGTCAATTTATCATCCCTATCACTAACTCTTTCATGTTTTCCTGTAGTTTTCCATATCTTTCTCCCTGTATATACACCTTCACTTTACTGTACACTAAACAACAGAATAACACAACTATCCAATGGCCTTGTTTCAACCATGTAATTCTTCTTCTTTCTACTCCTATCGTGGCAACATCAGGGAGCGAGTGACAGCAGCTGGAGGCATCATCATGACACAAGCTGAGGCGCTACAACAAAGCAACTTGGTAATACTGGCCATCCCTTTCCCTCACGTCAGCTCCCTCCCTCTGTCAGCCCTCAGGAGCAAGATCCTGATTGATGTCAGCAACAGGTGTGTAAATGTAAACAAAGAATAGTTAGAAATGTAGGATTCATCAGTCGCGCACGATGATCTTTTTTATATAAATACTAATAATGTAAATCTTTTATATCGAGATGCATCTTGACAACAAATTTCGTTTTCTACTTTTCCTTCCTTTATGCTTATAATAAATTTTTTGTCGTTTTTAAGTATTTTCTGGCACGAGAAATTTTACCCAAATTTTGGAAAGTTAATATTAATAAAATAAAGTATTTTTTGTTTTAATTTAAACTTTAGAAAAAGACAAAATTTTCTGAACTACTATTGCTATTACTGACCTTAACTACCATGGCTCAGTGATAGAGCGCTGGTCTAACAAATCAAAGATCTGACGTTCCCAAATCAAAGAGCTCCCAGAATGCAATTTACAGTGAATAAGGATTTTGTTATTAAGTTGGATATGTGTTCACTTAGATAACTGCTTGAACGTGAGAGATATGCACGTATATTAGGCATATATCTAAAAAAAAATATGTAATACCCCTTATATCATAATACTGACATCTTAATGTGGGAGAAAATAGGGAACAAAAAAATAAGAGCATTGTGTACTGTATTGTTTTACAGGGACCCGAAAACTTACAACTCGACGGAGCGCAGTCAGGCAGAGCATCTGCAAGCACTGGTCCCTTCTGCTACCGTGGTCAAGGCCTTCAACGTGTTGTCTGCCTACTCTCTCTCCAAGGGCATCAGGGGGAGCAAGGAGGTGAGGAAGAGAAGGAGAACGGAGGTGAGGAAGAGAAGGAGAACGGAGGTTAGGAAGGGAAATGGAGGATGAAAGGTGATGAAGGAAGTTGGGGGGGGTGGGGGACGATTGTTTTCGTCTTGAATACGAATCTACTTAGACTTCAAGCAGCTCCATATTGACGTGTTTGTATTATATGATTTTTCGTAACATGAACCATCCAACCCTACCTAACACCTTTCTAAAGATGAAAGTATAGTGTTTTAGGTTAGGTTTGCTAGGTTACATTATGCCTGGTAAGCTTGGTTAGGTAAGATATGGAAAGGTCACTGGAAAGTGTTTGTCAATAGAAGAGGAGCAAATATGGCGTCATCGGGTGACGGCACGCTTATACAAACACAACACTAAAGAATAACAAAACTACGAAAACTGCAATTTATCCGCCTTAGGGAAATATCCTGTAGGTAAGAAAGAAGTTTTCATATACAGAAAATGTTGCACAAATTTTTGGTTAACACGAGTCTATTCCAAAGTATTATAGAACATTGCTCTTTATAGCATTAATGTAAACAAAATTATTAGTCAGCGTGGTATATACGCTGTTCCTAGAAGCAATTGTTCGTGAACCAAAGGTGTGAGTGGCCAGGAATCCTAGTCCTGGTAGTTCCCAGTTTCATCTAATCTAACCATTAGGAGTTGGACTTATTAAGGTGATTATCCAATAGGAATGGAGCCTATTAGAATTAAGGACTATATGTGACTTGTTACTATCCTAAGGCATCCTTCAGGTTCCTGTGTGCAGTGACGACAACCTCGCACGACTCCTGGTGTGTGGGATAGTGAAGGACCTCGGGCTGGAACCCTTGGACCGAGGGAGTCTGAGGAACGCCCGTGAGGTGGAGGGCATCCCCTTCATCTTCTTCCGCGAATGGAAATTTGCCTTCATTGTTTCCATAATAATCTGGTTCATTGCTTTCTTCATCATTTTATTCGAGTAAGGATGCTCTCTCTCGTAGGTTGATCAGGGTTATCCATTGTTTAATTTAAACATATTTATTCCGTATCTAGAATTTGAATATTGTTTTAGTATCCCTGGTCTTTGATCCCTCTCCCCCCCCCCTTCCTTTTTTACTTCGTGTTTCTTTAAATCTCTCTTGTAATTTTTTCTCGTTTATCATCGGCACTTTTTTTTTCCTCCGGATGGTCGTTGTCTTCGTACCTACGAGTTGTGTTAGAAATATTTTTTTATGAATTTTTAGTTATATTTTAATTTTACTCGGCCATTTAAGACATGCAGGGTGTGAAAGAAGAGGCTAACTTGAACTAGTATTATCAGTAAAAGTAAGTAGATAAAAAAAACACCATAAAACATATAGATACAACAAGAAGAAATAATGAAAGATAAAGTAATAAAATGCTGGGTGAATAAAAACTATTGTAAAATTTTCAATTCTGCGACAGACCGTCAACAAATCGTGACCAAGCAGATATTTGATTGACTAAAATGCGTCTAAATATTTCATTGTTACGAGGATTAACCACAAGTGACAATGATGCACCAACAACACTAGTGGCGGGTCACTCGGCTGATGATACAACATTTGCGATATCACTAACCAGCTCGCGGTTTATCAGTAGCACTGTTGATGTTGACAATCAGTTGAGAACAGCCAGTAACATTACATCACAAATCAGCTGATGATACACAAACACTCTTCGTGCCATCACTCAGAGGATGACACACACACACGTGGCGTCATCAGTTAATACTGCTCCTCCCCTACAGGTGGCAGCTGTGCAATAACCTTAGGAACCTCCACAAACCCAACGGAACCTTCGACTGGAGCAGCTTCGACAATGTGGCCAAAAGCAACCTCTCTATATCCTGCTCCTCCACTGCTATCACCCTCCTGGCCATCTGTTACCTCCCAGGTGAGTTTCAGCTTCCTGTTAGGTCAGTATTGTGTGTCTGTATGGTGAGTCTTAGGTACAGTACCTGTAAGGTGAATTAGGTTACTTGTTAATTGGGTATTAGATACCTGTAACCTGTAAGGTAAGTGTTAGATGTATGTTGAGTGAGTGCTGGCTACCTGATCATGAGTGTTTTTCTTGTTTTGCACAGAAAATTACTTCCTGCCTTAAATCATTTTCCTACACGCACGTCAGCATGTATTATGGTACATATTTTAAATGAGAAAGAAGGATAGGACTCGGAGTACCGCTATCTGCGCTTTTGAATTGGTAAGAGCTGCTCTCTTACATTAGCTTAAAGTCTGACCCCGTAATCGGGATGGCTTTCTTAGGTAAATCTAACAGGTGCAGTATCTTTATATTCCCCATTTTGACAAGTGTGGTATCGATCTTACACTTGTTTACAGATGTGGTATATTTTTCTTTCCCATTATGACAGGTGTGGTATTATTTTTCACTTTCGGCCGGTGTGGTATCTTAATATTGCAGGTGTGATAGCAGCGTACGTACAGCTGGCGCGAGGTACCAAGTACTCAGAGTTTCCACGTTGGCTGAACAGGTGGCTCAAGGCAAGGAAACAACTGGGCCTGTTGATGCTGTTTAACGCCTTCATCCATGTAAGTGTGTGTGTGTGTGTGTGAGAGAGAATATACTAATTTATGTCATGCAACAAAACACAAGTGAACATCAGTGTGTGAATCAATAACACATAACTAAGTCTTCATTTCCTTTTCTCTTTCAACGTCTAATTTAAAATCGCTTAAATTAAACATCACTTACATGTGCGGGTACTAGGACCATCTGTAATCAACGCACGAAGTTTACTTCATTTATTCACTCCCTAAAAACAATTCATTCATATTTTATATCCCAAATTATCAATTAAATCACCGATTTTTATTAATTCATTCAATCACCATTAGTTAATCTTCTATTTAATTAAATCATTAAATAATTCATTAATTAAAACCCAATTAATTAATCAACAATTAAATTTCATTAAAATAATTATTTATTAAATCCTAATTTAATGATTATATAAGCTGCCATGAATTATTAATCGGTAAACAACCATATATTGACTGATGGTTCATCAGGTACTGTGTCAACTGAGCGACAGTGGCGGCTATGGCCTGGGTCACTCATCCTACAACTGGCGGAGACCGACGTTCATCGCTTGTGGTGAGTGAGTGAGGAGGAATAGAGTGACAGAGAGATAGAATGAGAAAAATATAAGAAATACAAATATGGGAATGTAACCAACAGATAGGGAAGAAGAAAATGAGATATAAAAGAGAGAACGAGAGACATGTATGTGGACTGAGGGGAAAGATATAATGAGACAAGTATAATGAAAGAGAGAGAAAAACTTCCAAATTTAGTCCATGTGGTCCTCAAATGTGTTGTGAACTACAGGGATCTTGGCCTTCACGATGGCGGGGGTGCTGGGGCTGGCGTCGCTGCCCTCCGTCGGGACCTCTATGACGTGGAGAGAGTTTTCCTTCCTGCAGAGTCGTCTAGGCTGGTTCACGCTCTTACTGGCTGCCTTCCACATCATCTTCAACGTATGGGACGGTCTAGTGACGCCTAACTTCACCTGCTACATTCCTTCCATAAGCCAGGTGAATAGATTAATTTTATGTACAATACACTCGGTATAACTATTTTATTCATTTATTTTTGTACGATATGAATGGTGTTACCGCTGGAGATATGTTAACTTATTATAGATGTAGTGTTGTACCCTGTTGAGTTAAGTTACTTGTCGTTTTTAACTCTAATCCTATATCTAAATATTAAAGTAACATATTTGTCATCTAACTTACTCTATGTTTAATTCCCCCCCTTGGTTATCCCTCATGCGCCCAACTGAAAACTGAAGCATTGATTTTTTTTTTAATTCTGATATATTGTTGGACAGAGAAAACACATGGAAGCTGAACCTAGAGTATCGCCGGCGAGGGTTTAATGATCTAATGCACTGTATATTTGGTTCTATATCCGAGTTGTCTCCAAAATATAAACTAGGAATGAAACTTTACAAAACAACGGTGACGTCATATGGTGTGGAGGGAGTGAAAAGCTGCCGTGTTATTGTTTCATATATTTGTTGAATGAATATTAGTGATACCTTATCAAAACAAGACTTGGTTCTATTGAATTTGCTAATTGTATTTTCGCTTAAGATATTCATGAGATATCCCGGCACCCATGACTTAAAACTATGAACTCCCGTTTCGCTTTCACTCTTTGTCTCTTTGATTTTGTGTTGGTTCTCTCACTCTTTGAATGTCTTCCAAGCTTCCTTCTTTCATATTATTACGAGTTGGTCTTCCTTTATCTACCAACACTGTTCTTTCTTTCCTTTCACATGTATTTTACTGTAATATGAGGTTAAAAGCTCGTCATTCTATACTTATGTCAGTTGCAACCAGTTTTTAAGATATACAAAGGTTAGGTTGAGTATGTCTTCATGCAACTGGTAAAAGAAACCACTGGAAATAATTATAATTAACTAAAGGAAGGTGTCATTCCATGTTAACCCCTGAGAAAGATTGTTAATAATGCAAGTGATAAAGTAGTGTAATAACTTGTCTGAGTATTTTTTAATGCATTACATTTGCCGCAGTTCGTGATTGTGATGCCGGTGCTGACGTTGGTGCTGAAGCTGCCGCTGTTGTTGCCCTGTGTAGATAATGCTCTCACCCGGATTCGTCAGGGCTTCGAGAGAATCCCCACACCTCCCAGCGTGTAGTCAGTCACCCATCTCTCTTCATCCTCCCTCAAGGGCACCCAGTTTAAAGTATAACATAGCATTTATATGTAGGGGTTGTACTAATTATCAGTATTTCAAAGTACAAAAAAAAAACTCAGTGTTTCCTAACAGAAAAGGTTAGAATCTCTGTTGTACGAATCAATGTAATAAAGTAATGAAGTGAACCCTGTGGAACTTTTCTTAACATTACATCTGATCTATTATATACTCAAGAAGTCTTTGAGTTATACTTGCGAGTTTCAAAGCAAAGTACATTATCCATACAATATGATCTATGGTTACAATTGAATGGTATCGTCCAGCTTTAAGCCTTCCTCTCTCTTAAGGGACCAGATGTTACTTACATTTTTGTTAACAAGAAACAAATTTAGTCTAAACACAGTACAGTCTCTTTACTTGTGGTATCTATTGGTTATGATATTGTCTAAAAAAAGTGACGGTGTGTAGGCTATTAATATTTTATGGTCTGTCTCGTCTCTTGGGGATCCTAGTCTACCTACCCTGTTTATAAGAACATAAGAATGGAGGAAACTGCAGCTGGCCTATTGATCCATACTGGGCAGTCCCGTTTACACCCAACCCCTATTGCTCATATAAGCATCCAACCTATGTTTGAAGCTATCCAGAGTATTCGAGTTAATGATGATATTTGGTAACTTGTTCCATTCATCCACTACTCTGTTTCCAAACCAGTGTTTACCTATTTCACAGCGAAATCTAAATTTGTCTAATTTAAAACCATTGTTACGAGTTCGCTCCTGGTTGGATAGTTTGAGTACCTTTGTAATATCCTCTTTGTTTAACCCTGACTTCCATTTATACACCTCTATCATGTCGCCCATCACTCTAGGTCTCTCGAGGGAGTGCAAATTAAGATGCTTTAACCTGTCTCTGTATTCAAGGTTCCTAATGCCCGGGATTAGTCTTGTCATTCTCCTCTGGATTCTTTCCAAGGATTCTCTATCCATTCTGTAATACGGTGACCAGAACTGAACTGCGTAATCCAGGTGAGGTCTCACAAGTGCTAAATATAATTTTAAGATGACCTCGCTAGTCTTGTAACTGACACTCCTTTATATGAACCCAAGTACTGTATTAGCCTTCTTACGAGCAAAAACACATTGTTTACTTGGCTTAAAATTCCTACTTATCATTACTCCTAAATCTCTCTCGCAGTCGGATTCCACAATGGCATCGTTGTTCATCTGGTAACTGGTTTCCCTGTTTACATCTCCTATACTGAGTACTTTACATTTGTCCACATTGAATTTCATCTGCCATTTTTCCGATCATTCGAAAAATTTGTTTAGATCTTCCTGTAGTTTTGCAGAGTCCTCGTCCGATTTAATTACACGTCCTATTTTAGTGTCATCAGCAAATTTACTTATGTTGCTGTCTATGCCGGTATCTATGTCGTTTATGTATATAATAAATAATAATGGTCCAAGTACTGAGCCTTGGGGAACTCCACTAGTGACGTTGCTCCAATGAGATTTAGTGCAGTTTATGCTCACTCTCTGTTTCCTGTCCTGTAACCATGCCCTAATCCATTTAAGGATATTACCTTTGATGCCATGCGCTTCTACCTTTCTAATTAGTCTTTCGTGGGGGACTCTGTCAAAGGCTTTGCTAAAGTCGAGATATACCACATCATAATTGTGCCCCTCGTCCACCGATTCTAAAACTGATGAAAAGAATGTTAATAGATTAGGTAGACATGAACGCCCGCTTGTGAAGCCATGTTGGGAATCATTGATCAACTTGTGCTTTTCCAGGTGGTTTCGAATAGAGTTTGAAATGATTGATTCTAGTAATTTGCCTACTAGTGATGTTAGACTGATTGGGCGGTAGTTAGAGGATAGTGATCTATCCCCTTTCTTGAAAATCGGTATTACATTCGCTATCCTCCAGGATTCTGGTACTACACCTGTATTTAATGACATGTTAAACATCTTTGCTAAGGGCATACTAAGCTCTTCCTTACATTCCTTTAATACTCTGGCAAATATCTCATCGGGACCAGGTGACTTACTAGGCTTCAGTTTGTCTATTTGCTTATTAACATCGTTACTAGTCACTACTATCTCGCTTAATTTGTTTTCTTCACTATCTCTGAATAGAGTCGGTGCCTCTGGTATCATGTTTAAATTTTCGATGGTGAAAACTGTTGAAAAATATTTATTCAGATTATTGCTCATTTCTCTGTCGTTATCAGTTAGCTCGCCTGTATCTGAACGTATTGGTCCAACCTTATCTCGTGTTTTAGTTTGATACATTTGGTAGAATCCTTTGGGGTTTGTTTTTGCCTCCCCTGCTATCTTCAGTTCATAATTCCTCTTTGCTTTTCTTATCTCGGTCTTAACCCTACCAGCCAATACCTTATAATACTCCTGGAGGTAAATTTCGCCACGATTTATCCTTCTACCTATAGCCTTCCTTTGGCCAGTAATGTTCTTTAAATAATTATTTCTCCATTTAGGGTCATTGTTGTCTGATCTGAGTTTTTTGTATGGTATGTTCTGCCTTTGTGCATTAAGTAACTCATTATTTAAATTGTCGTGGAACTCGGCAATCCCAGATCTCGTTATCAGGTCGGTATCATCTGTCAAGTTCACACCCAAGAGCGACACCCCCTCTCTCAGCTGCCTCTATAAACTATCAAAGTCTGCCCTTCTGAAATCTGGGACTTTAATACTGTACAATTGACCTGAAATAGAAATAAAACAAAACTCTGCATCTGATACTTATTGTTACACTGTTTATTTGAGATCAAGTATATATATCTAAATTTCTACAGCTTCTCCATTTATGATTTTTTTCATGGTGAACTATTGAAGTTTCTGCCCAATTAGTTTTCTGTAATAGATGAAATGCACTACCTGGATACTTACTTGTAAGTAACCTTAATAATTTTATACGATATTTTTAGTAATGATAGCTTGGTTAGGGTAGGTTAGATTAGGTCAGTTAGGTTCAATGTAATGTTTAATGAGAATTTAGTAAATCTTAGCTGAATAATCTAACCTGTGTATGTGTGTGTGTGTGTGTGTGGTTAGAGACCCGCCTCAAAATGTTATAAATATGAACGTTTACTCTTGACCCGTAAGTTTGCCATAACTTACCATCGACATACATTTTCCTTTTAACAAGTATTTCTTTACTTAATGTGTTATAAAGTTCATTATGATCCAGGTTATTATGATATGTGTATATTATCTATTGTTGAACTATGTACAGGATTGTGTTATTATACAGTATACCATTACTTAGGAAACGAGTATAATGGTGAAGAGAAGTAAGCATGGCGATATTTTTTTTCTACTTTTCGCCTCCAAGTTCTCAGCCTAGACCAGCAGTACTACTACCCTCTCACAGACTAGCCGCTCGTTCCCCATTTCACTCTTCGCTTTACTATTTACTTTTCCAATCATATTAGCTATGCACCGGTAGGGTTCTGTTATCTTACGTTAATGAATGCAGTAAGAACCTTGTTATTTATTCTGTACTTGGTGTTTGTGTCTGTCATAGAGTGGGAAGTGACAAGTGTAAGGCCATAGAATAGATTGCATTTCTCCTTTTTGCCTAAATCTGTTATTACTACTTGTATGTAACTAAATATTTTTTAGTGTTTATAATTGGAGTTTTTATATTTCTTCGCCAACCTGGACAACATTAACCTTTCGTTAATGGTAGTGGATAAGGGTGCTGCTGTCGGGTCTTCTGCATAATGCACAAGAGCGTTGCTCAGGGGATGCGGGGATACCTATCTCCCAAGCAAAGTCATTCCCAATGATGATACGGGTAGCAATCACGTCCCCTTTCCGAGACCCTTTTCCCATAGACGTACGAGAGGTGTGTATAATTCTCGTTCTATAGTTAAACGTAAACATTAATCTTATATCATTATTGTACAGTCACTCATAAACCCTCCCCCCACCCCGGTCTACAGCACTTCTAACTCATGGCAGTTCAGATCTGGTACCACTCATTCGAACCTTGATCGAGTAAGTATACGAATGAACTCTCCTTTTGCAGAATAAGCTTAGTTTGGGTAAAGGTATAATGCGATGAATACGGTCAATATAATACACATTGTATTGGTAAGATACATTTATCAAGTTATACTTACCCGTTGAATGTTTACCATTGATTTTAATGAAACACTCGAAGCCGGTATCCAAGGAGAATAGAATGAACTATGGCCAGCCCTACCCGTCCTCTCCGCTCACTTATTGGTGGGAGTTCCTTGGAGATTTAACGTTCAAGTCTTATCAAACTAAATAGAATGTGTAATCGGATAGACGAAGTAGGATTACAGTTGATTCGTATACCATAATCTCACCTTACATATGGAGCCAGAATAATATAAATACGACGAATTGAAAGGGGTGATTGTGATAGCTTATTAATGGGCCTATGTATTTCTGCATGCAAACCACCCAGGTTAATATACTCTATATGCATATAGGGTTATAATATTACATGGTTATTTAGTAATGTTATTAGGATTTAGAATATAATGCCTTAGATGTGCATGAAACGAAACATGAACCGAGGCAATGGTTCGTGCACGACGTGATCTACCACCACCCACCCCCCAACACCACCCATCACCCCGACCCTCTACGTCAGGTGTTGTACTGTACACTTTTACCAGACCTGAATTGCCATGAGTTTGAAGAGCTGTAGACGGGGGGCGGGGGGAGGGGCGTTTCTTTTACGAGTGACTGTACATGTTGGGAATGTGGGAGAACTGTTAAATGCCTGTTAGTTCACTGTCTCCATACTGTAATTTAATGAGGATCTGTCGTTCCTCTTAAGTGGTGTTTATAATTTCTGTACATTTGAGAAGCGGACGTACCATATCAATACACCGTATATACATTCATACATAAATAGATGATAAATTAATGGCAATACTGCATAATGCCAGATAAAAATATTAAAGTTATGAAAGCTGTTCGTCCACAAATCAAACTTAAAACACGTACTCACAGAAAATTGAATCATGTATATTTAAATACATATGGAGTGGTATGTACCAGCCAATTAAAAGACAAACTCTGTATTTACCTGTCAAACAAGGTGGTATTGGAGTAGTTAATGTGTTTTGTAAAGCAGCTGCTATATTATGTACAGCTTTCATAAAAATTGCTTCAAACCATGAAAAGAGGAAATCTTTAACTCCATATTATACAAGTATAAGGACCAGCTATCTATTAGAAATGAAACCTACGGATAATGTTCCCTACTTGTCTCCACCTTATTATAGTAATGCAGTGAATACCCTAAGAAGGTTAGCAAGGCATCATAACTTTCCCAATGTCAAGAATAAAGATGTACAGTATACAATATGTTAATGATATGGACTGAACCAGCAGTTGAAGAAAATTATCCGCTGTTTAATTGGCCTTTTATTTGGGAAATATTACTTGTAAATATATGGATCCTCACCAGAGAGTCTTCATATATAGGTATACTCATGAAACTCTACCTACAAATCAGAGACTAAAAATTTTAAACATAAAACATGATAGTTCTGTAAGGTGTGGTGAGGTAGAATATCCTTTACATGTATTTTACTTCTGTTTCCATAACAGAGAGATAATTAATGGTTTAAAAACCTCCTGAATACAGTCTGCAATGTCAATAGCAAATTATTTCTGCATTTTTTAATGTTTAATATTAACTGTAGTGATAATAAGGATAAGAATACAGTGATCATGCTAATGTCAGATTATATTTACTGTATGTGGCTAAGTAGGAAGGAAAATTATAATGTTAAGGAGACTATAGCCTTTATTAAAGGCAGGATATATTATAATAAATGAATGATCAAGTGTATTTTAAAAGAAAAGTCATCCAAATATTTCACTTACAAATATGTTAATATGTAATATTTAGGTATACAGTAATATGTAAATTGTAAAATTTATGAATATAAAAAATAAAATAAAATAAAAACAGTTTGTATATATAAACACCAAATCCGGAAAGAATAGACAACCGTCGAGCGGGAGTTCCGGGGCCCCCTCTCAGCTGATCCATCTCCATGGCAACCGTGTCAACATTTGGGGAGGATCCACGCGGCCGGATATCTCTCTTCACCCTCCACAAACACACCAGTCTATCACCGTGACTGAGGCAAACAAGTAAGTCTTTGAGTTTTATTATCATACTTTATAACGAAGGAATGAGGTAGGACTACATGGAGAAAGATAATTAGTTGCACGCAAATATATACGAAAGAAATTGTTAAAGATTATTTCGTGTTTCCATTAATAAAATAAAAAGGTGGTTTCCTATTTATTTATTTCTACTTAAGGATCACAAAAATAATATACAGTTGTCTCGTTTTTCCTCTGCAACATCATGTGATAAATTTATTGAAGGAAGAGGTTTGTTGTTACTTGAATGAAATTTAATCTGTACTGCAACAAAATATAGTTATTATAGCAAAAGGTGATATACTATTTACCATACAATGCACTCAGACTTACCATGAAAATTGTATAGTGTTATATTCTCTGCTAATTATGGCCACGCGATTGCAGAAAAGTTATAGAACACAATGAAGGAATAATTTAATTTACTAATGAAATGAGTTATCCTTTTTATTGCTATAGCTTGGTGAACATTAGTTTAGATATACACACTTAACATAAGAGTATCATTGTTTTGTTTACAGTATCGTAATTTTTCGTGTGTCTTCTATGATAGATTTCTGTTGACTATCTTGTTTGTTTTTCTGGCAACAGTTGTATTGTTCACGAGTTACCTCCATTCATAGCATTACCTGTGTCAAATATCAAATTAACAAAAAAAGATATACAGTACTATATCTTCCTTTCATGTAATAAGAAAGTACAAATATTATATATTATTTGTTTAATCAACTTATATAAATTTTGTCTTCCATGTGTTAATACGTATTCAATTCTCAACAAGTTCCTTTGTCCCATTTGCTTGTGTCGATCAGCAATAACGAGGACCTGTGTGCTCAATAAGTAATGCACTGTGTAGATAGCAGTAGGTCTTCCTGGACTACACCTTAATGCCAAGTACCACACCTTATCTAACTCGGGGTGGTGGTTGTGTTGGAGACAGCTTCTACACCCTAAGAAAATCAATTAACTTAATAGCCTAATGACACACAATAATTCTTTTTGATAATTTCGCATTGTTATAGTACAGTTTAACATTATTTTTCCCTTTCCTGACAGTCATGGTCGGCGTGAGCGCGGAGACGTTATGGATGTGGCTTGGATATCGTGAACGAAGATGGAAACGGTACAGTAAGAACGATCAGTAATAGTCCAACTTTTTATGTTCCTTTTATGGTCATGAGTTTGTATCGTTATTTTAGTTCTGCCAGCAACTCTTCTAAGTATATGTTTTTGTCTCTGACTCACCGACTTTTATCCTGGCTCAATGTACAGGGCAGCATGTGTAAATTTGTCAAGGTTTTAGTCTTGCGTTCTCATTAATATTGTGTTTATTTGCAATTTATTCGTTTTTTTTTCACTATCACTGGTCTTTTCAATGTCTGGAATGAACTAGTATTTACGTGTCCAGCCGTCTTTGAGTCTCACACTGATTACTATTGTTTTGTTTTTTTTGGTAGATGATCCACAAGAATAAGAACTAAAAGTCACGCATTCAGGAAACAGGTTGGGCAAGATATATTTTGGCTCTGAACTTTCCATGACATATCACCAAGGTCATATAAAACATGACGCCTGCGAGTTCAGTCTTGTAAACAATGCTTTGACTGTATACATCCTCGTGTGTGTGAAGTATACAACAAAACATCACAGTACTCGCAGTTATTATTATTTCCTTACACACAAATCCACCGCAACACAAAACCTTCACCTTGATGTTCTCTTCCAGATCTTACCCTAAGTCGTCTCGTTCAACCCTCACTCGTAAAGAAACGGAAGAGCTTGAGAAGAAAGAAGGGGCAGAGGAGGAAGAGGAGGATGAAAAGGCTTTGAAGCTAAAGATCAAAGAGAATGAGGAGAATGAGGAAGAAGACGAGGAAGCGAGGAGAAGGGAGAAAGATGCATATTTAGCCCGAGTGACGCACCTCCACCTTGAGAGGAAAGGGATTACGCACATAGTAAGTTTCCATCTGTTAGAGGTGAAGAGTTGATGACTGTGTTGAAGTTACAGTATCAGGCTCTTAAGACTATTCACACCACAAGTCACTATTCCTGGGAAACAGTCTTTAGTTCATCGCTAAGTTTACATTCTTCGGGGCTAAATCTAGAGTTCATTTCTCCCTGTTAAGCACTACAAGTTTTATGATGACTAAATATTTATCTAGGTTTTTTTAATTTCCAGCATTTTTAAAATTTAATGTAACTTAATTTGATTTCTATATAACCTCATTCATTTGCATAAGAGAGAAAATTAAAAATATTCCTTTCTGATGTATTTTTCAAATGAATGATCATATGGCAACTGCTCTGAGAATTCGAAAAATAAGGTATTAATGTTTTCCTAAACCTAGATTTAAACGAAACTCCAAGTTCAGGAAAACAGATAATATTACCAACTTGCCTTTGTATTCATTATTCTTAATATGAGTGCTTATTCCCCTCCTCTTGTCATCTCCCTGGTGTCTGCTGGCTCAGGAGAACGTGGGTGTTTGTCCAGGGGCGCGTGTGGCCTTCCTTCAGCACAACCATCTCACACGCCTCGCCAATCTCCGACCTCTTAGACTCCTGCAGGAACTTTTTCTCCAGGATAACCACATTACCAGGTGAGGGTCACCATACACACACAGACACCCAGTCATAAATAGAGTAGATTTTAATGTTACAGAGAGAGAGAGAGAGAGAGAGAGAGAGAGAGGGAGGTCATTAGGTTTATTTATAGATACATTGATATACGAAACAAGAAAACAACATTGACACAGAGATAGGGTCATTAGAAACGCCTCCGTTCCCCTGCCGCAGATTAGAGTGTTTACAGGAGCTGGTGAGTCTACGTCGTCTACTGGTGCCGGGGAACAGAGTAGGGGTTGTGGAGGGTCTTCCCAGAGGCCTACAGGAACTGCACATCCAGCACCAGCGTCTCCCTCCTGGTGACGCCCTGGTGCTCGACCCACACGCCCTAGCCACTGTACAGGTAGGTTATCCATACCATAGCTATTGTAGAGGTAAGTTATTTACACCATAACTACCATGTATTTAGATATTCACACCCTATCCCGTCTACAGGTTGGTTATCCACATCCTAGCCGCTGACGATGTACTGTACGTTTGTAAGGGGTTTATATTCCAATGACTGTTGGAACTGTGTTGCTCAGTGTTGGGTTTGCTCTCTGTATCTAAAGCAGGTGTTGCTCATGGGTACTTCGAACCGAGTCATAGTGCGGGGTATGACCGTATGGCTGATCACTTCAACACTGGCTTCCTTCCTCTGACCCAGTTGGTCACCTGCTGCCTCTTTTTATTCATGGTCACGTTGATGTGAGCTGCTGCACTCCTAGCCTTGTATGTCAGCACGCCAGCTAGGACACTGTTAGCCCTAGCCTCTGTGTTGTTCCTACCGGGCCCATTATCAAGTACCTATGCCAATTAGGAGGATACTTGCTCGCCTGTCCTTTTGTTGGAGAGAAAACGCCTATTTACCACCTGTGCCGTGTTGTTATACAAGACCCCACGCTTGACATCCAGTGTCTACACTCTCGACAATTGTTCTTACCTGTAGTACTGCACTTCCATACCTACATATGTTTATGTTGCTCTGTACTGTCTTCATGCCGATTATCAGTGTAAATACTCGTAAATAGACATATTTGGTTATAAATATCCATAATCTTGTCCAAAATCCTTGGTGAGAGCGAAATTGTTTCACTTGACAGTAATCTTTAAAAGAACCAGAGGGTGTTTACATCTAGAATTCTAGACCCTCGACAACGTTAGCCACGCGTTTGACATCTTACAGATAATTTATCCACGCCCTAGCGAGCGCACATCAATACCCTTATTATCCACGTCTTGGCTCACATAAAAGTCGCATTCACGCACGCTTACTGACTCACTCCACTGTCCAAGGATCCCTGCACGTGCCTCTCATAAAAAATGCTTATCATCCTTTGTTCTCAGCACAGGTAGCCCCTCAAGGCCTTCCAGTGATATGCTGAGGCAATTTCGGGTTTTTGCATTATTCCCATTCTTCCTAACCCAACTCTGACTAGAGGGTGTCAGCTTTTTCTTGAGATACATTTACAAGAGAGCATATATATACTATATAAATATATATATATATATATATATATATATATATATATATATATTTATATATATTTATATATATATATATATATATATATATATATATATATATATATATATATATATATATATATATATATATATAAAGAGAGAGAGAGAGAGTTTTAATTGTTGGGGGATACTGCATGTGTTATACCACACGTAGTTGGAACTGAACTGTGGTCAATAAATCTAACGTATAGTCAGATAAACAGACAGACGTGGAGAAGAAAATATAAATATCGTGTGTGTGTGTTTGTAAGTGATGGTGCCGAGTGAGTATGTGTATTGCCACATGATCCGGTTGGTAAAAAGTTACTTCAGGCTTACTTGATGTTGACTAGGCAAACATTCAATTTATAATTGAATAAGCATTTTCGGGGAGCATTGGGTAACTCAGCAATAGTATTCTTGTCTCTTAAGTTATTTAAAGTCATGGGCTAGTGGGCCGTGGGTTCGAATCCTGGCGGGTTGAGGTGTTGATTGTATGTAGAAGTCCGCGTGCTATTGTGCTAATGAAATATATATATATATATATATATATATATATATATATATATATATATATATATATATATATATATATATATATATATATATATATATATATGTGTGTGTGTGTGTGTGTGTCCTTCAAATTAAATGTACTATGTGACAAGTCGTTGATACAGTTAACTTAATCAAGTGTGCATTTAAATGTAACCTGGGAAGATATTGGAAGCGTAATGTGTTGTCTAATGATAGACCCTGCTGCCATATGGCATTGCGAAAATTGTGACCAAGTCCCAGGTTGCTCATCTGATTTTCTGCCTCGCTTACACACAAATGTAGGGTCTCAATTGTTTTTCTTACTATTGACAACACAACATACATACAATATATTGTTTCTCACTTTTGATCTTTTTTAATTTTTGTATTTCTTTATGGTTCTTTATTATTATTATTATTATTATTATGATTACATTTTCGCCCCCAGGCCCCGATGTGGGTCAGTGATCTGTGCCCGGGTGAGCTAGAAAACAATGTATTAGCGTTCGCAACAAGGCAAACAGGATTCTTGGGTTCATATCTAGGTCTGTGAGTAACAGAACTGTTGACGTTATCTTGAAACTTTACCTAGCATTAGTGAGGCCACACATGGATTATGCGGTTCAGTTCTGGTGTCCTTATTATAGAATGGACATAGATTCTTTGGAGAGAGTACAAAGAAGAATGACAAAAATGATCCATAATATTAGAAACCTTCCATATGAAGAAAGACTGAAAAGCTTAGGCTTACATTCATTAGAGAGGCGTAGAGTTAGGGGAGATATGATAGAGGTGTACAAGTGGGTAAGTGGGATTAACAAGGGTAAAATGGAAGATGTTCTGAAGCTCAGTAATAACGAAATAACTAAAACAAATGGCTTTAAATTAGATAAATTCCGATTCAGAAAGGATATAGGCAAGCACTGGTTTGGTAATAGAGTTGTGGATATGTGGAATAGGCTACCGGAGTGCTATAGTAGGATCAGGGACGCTAGGAGCTTCAAGACGAAGTTGGATAGGCACATGGAAGTGCTGGGATGGGTGTGAAAGGGATCTGCCTGCATGGGCCAGTCGGCCTCCTGCAGTATCCCACTTTCTTATGTTCTTATGTTCTTATGTTCTAAAAAAAACAGTTGAACCTTTGTCCTTCATCATAGTCATCCAGCTGCCAGTTGATTCTATGGTTTGCTCACCCCCTTGGTACTGTATACAGCGTAGATCTAACACAGTGAAGCAAATAGTTTAATACACTGTTATTTTCACCAGACGTTTTACATTTTACTGGATGTTTAAATGTTTCCAGGTTCTATTTGTTTTTTTATTAGTCTATATCATAGTGAACTGTTTCCCTTATTTTGTAGACAACAATTATATATATATATATATATATATATATATATATATATATATATATATATATATATATATATATATATATATATATATATATATCATATTTCAAAGTTGACACGGATTTATGACACGAGCATCAACCTTATTTCAGCCTAATAAGTTCATAATATATGTATTTTGGTTGTTAGTCGAGCAATATAGGAGTTCCTCTGCTTGAAGACCATGGCTGGAGATAATTTGATCGGTACCTGGCAGTGACTGCTTGTTGCTGGTGACACGGATGAGAAAAGTTACAAGCTTGGTTACAGTTTTGGTGATGGTTTTCCGGGTACAGATTCGTGTTGGTGATCCTTCCTCGTGAAGTTCTTGATGTCCTCGAATATGGCTGTTCTGGTGATCGGTGATGACTGCCACTTGTGTGATGATGGTTTATGAAGTGGCTGACGTCTGGTTAGTCTGTGGTTGGTGATGGTGTTCTCTTGCTGGTGAAGCTGGTGTATATTATATTTACTAATGAGTTTCCCTCCTCACTGACGTCTGATCTGTTACGGATGACCCTGGTATGTGACGGCTGGTAGTCTACTCGTGATCCATTTCCTCCGAAGAATAATAGTGGCTACTAATGAGCACCTGGCGACCAACACTCGCCACTGATGGTTGTCTGGTGAACAAAACTGTTTGCTTCCGTCTCCCAGGTGGCCCTATTAGCGTTACCTTCAGACCTCGGGGTTGGGATAAGGTGGACAGAGGCCATAGTCCCAGTTACATGTATCGATGATACTGGTGTGACATTTGTGTTCGCATGGAAGGTATGGGGGATTGATGATGACTGGTGGTAGCTTTGGGTTGTCCGTTTTTTCTTGTTTTAATGACTTTTTAGGCCAGGCATCCGTGACACCACAGACCAGCAGTGCCACAGACACCATTATGCAAGCAGAATTCACTCTCATTATGGGTTAATTTAATTATGGGTTGTAAGCAATAATGGCCGAGTGCTGTGCTAGGTTTGTTTATACCTCTAATACTGTTCCTTAATCACTGTTTGAATAAGTTTTTCCACTCTCCGTTCCCGTAGACCCTTGAACTATCTTTGAACAGTTCCCCACTTTTTTTTTATTCACTCCTGCAAATAATTTCTACGACGCATGAAGCGTGTACTTCTTTCTCTTGATAATGTACCCATGCTTTTCTGGGCCAAATCCTACAAATAGCAGTGAGGACAAAGACTTCATTCGAGTTTAATAGCGATGTTATTAACCTCTCAGACACCCAGCAAAGATCAGTATTAATAGCCCTAAATGAACTAGGGAAAAATATAAACAAGATAAATCTAGTTTGATATAGGAAATGGATTAATTACCATGAACATGAAAAGAAACAAACCGGATATATAAGGGGGAAGTTAGACAAATTTTACGTACACACATTTTTTTTTTAACTACAATAGAGGGAAGAAACAACAAAAACTTAAGCCTTTGTCTGCCCTGTGATGAAAGGTCGCCCTCTATGACCTTAAATTAGGTACCAGGTAATTAAACAAATGATTTATGACTTCGGGTTAGGTAGTGTTGAGTATTATTGTTGTTAGTGTTGCTGTTGTTGTTGTTATTATTGGTGTTGTTAGTGATGTTAGTTATGTTGTTATTGTTATTGATTTTGTTGTAGTTAATGTTGTTATTGTTGTTGTTGGTTTTGTTCTTGTTAAGGTTACTGTTGGTTTTGATGTTGCTGTTGTTAGTATTATTGTCATTAGTGTTGTTGTTGCTGGTTTTACTGTTGTTTCTTGGTGTACTTATGTTGATGGTTCTATGGTGGTTGTTTAACCGAGTGTTTATTATTATTATTATTATTATTATTATTATTATTATTATTATCATTATTATTATTATTATCATTATTATTATTATTATTATTATTGTTGTTGTGTTGTCCAGTTGTTAATGGTTGGCATTTATTATTTTTTTGTTT